CGAAATAGTGCACGACTTCATTTTCTGAAGAAAAACTGACTGCGCCCATGCCTGGGAGCGAACTCACAACCCCGAGATTGTCAGTCGGACGCGCTACCGATTACAACACAGACGCCGTTATAAATATCAATGTACTATAATATATAAACTTAGTTTCAAATATTTTACACTTAAGTAGCTGCAGAACTGTAGCTCTCAGAAAAAATATATGTTGACAGACCAAAGAGCTACAGTGCCACCCATTGAAAAAACTGTATATTTATTGCGCACAAAAAAGTGCGCTCCGTTCTGAATTAATTCTTCGAAATTCTTACCTCAATTGAAAACAAAGCTACATTTCAAAAAAGTCCTTACTCCTCTATAACTTTATGTAGTTTACACTTGTACTAAGTGCGTTGGACCAAATTCTCGTGAAGAACAAAATGGCAGTATAAATAGGCAAAATGTTCAATGATTTCAATTTCAGGGCCAGGAGGGCTGTTAAAAACAATTATAAGGAATGATTTATTGTGGAAACAGTGAAAGAATATGTTAGAAACACACGTTTAGTAATATTTTGAGATGACAGTTTTAAAAACACTGAGAAATAAATCGAGAAACAGCGCACAAAAAGTGCACAATAAATATACAGTTTTTTCTATGGGTGGCACTGTAGCTCTCCCGTCTGTCAATATATATTTTTTCAGAGAGCTACAGTTCTGCAGCTAACACTTAAGATGAAAAATAAACAAAATAATTCTTCTAAAATAGTTTCTTGCAATTGACCCCATCACTCAACTACTATTCTCTAAAACTATCTGTACATTATACCTAAAGCCTCCGGCTTGTGCACCATGTGTCAAACCCTGACTACTTTTTAAGAATAGTGCATGCAAAATACAACACTATTATATAAATATGCACACTTCATGAGTTCCCTAGTTCATTGAATAAAGGTACACATACCTTCATTTTACATTTAAGGACATACGCAAGATACCTTACCTACTGATAATTTTTCAAGATATTCTAAATTTAAACTTATAATACATGTACCATATAACATATTTTTAAACAAAAAATCAGCATGCATTTCCAGGGATTTTGAAAAGATATTAAAGTTTGAAAAATTTTGCATTATTCAAAAAAAATGTACAAAAATTACAAAACATAAATTCCAGATTTTTTTTATCAAAATTGTTTTAGAAGAGATTTACAAATCCATATATAGACAATAAAAATATTGCACACAGGTCCTTCATTTAGTGGAACTCTTCAACTCCAGGGAAGAACCCAATAAAGTGCAAACTACGTTGCGTATGACCTTAAATGCCCGTTTATATAAGAGAAAAATAAATTAAAGAACTTGTTCTAATTAAAATAATGAAAAAAATCCTTATTTAAGCCTTTAAGTTTAATTTTTAATTAAGAAATTTGACAGATGAATAAGAAGAGTAATATACAATATAATACTTCTTAAATTAATTCTCTTGGTTCCATTCATTAGATATTCAATATTCGAGTCAACACTCTATACATGAATGAATTATCAAAAGTTTTGTCCTTAAAGTTTTCAATGGATCCACAGATCATGAGGTGATGTCTCCTTTTATGTGTATGTATCTGTGTACACTGGAAAAAAAAGAAAGTCGCTGTGTGATGAAAAGGATAAACCAGAAGTCTCTGATGAGACTGTAGCTCTCCTGGTCTATATGTATAACAAAGAAAAAGTAACACTTGGATTTGAAACTTTGCAACAGACAGCAATAAATAGAATTATGTATCTAAGTGTAGTCTACTTGTGTGCCACATTATATTGAAATCATACCAAAATTGTAGGTGGAGTAGCGTTTTTAAGGAATTTTACAGAAATTTCTATTTTTAGTAACCATGGCAGCACCGTTCATTGAAATGTACCTTAGTGCAGTCTAAGTTATATTGAAATCAGAATAAAACTGTAGGAGGAGTAGTGTTTTGAAAAATTACAAACAGATGGACAGCTAGACAGACAAACAACTAGACGCCATGGACAGACAGACAGACGGACAGCTAGACAGATGGACGAGGGACACCTTCCTATCCCATAAGCTCTTCTGATCTCTGACCAGTAGAGCTAAAAAAAATATCAAATTTGATTTTTTTTCAATGTTAAAGAAATAAAACTGCAAAATTAAATTGTAAATGGTTGGTTGCGTACTAATTATTCAAAGTAGTTTTTGTTGTATGGTTTGAAAAATTTTATTATTCATTCTCTCTATTTTCACAAAGAATTACCTTTGCATTTCTTGTATCTACAAGGGGGACAAATCTTCAAATGGTACATGTACACTATATGTCAGCTACTATACCTTCATTTTCTGTTAAAGAAAAAAAATAGAATAAATCATACAATACCAATTACATGTATAATAACAAAGCATGGATTAAATTTTTCACTAAAATTAGAAAATGAATTGAATATCGATCACTCAAATTTCTCGATCCAGCCAAAATGACTGACGCTAAAATTTACCCCTACTGAGGTCGAAGTATAAAAGTATAAATTATTTTTATCTATCAATATACCATAAATGAAACTTTGTGCATGTTCTGCATTCATTTACCGGTATCTGTATATAGTAGTTTTATGCCCTTGAGAATTTTTCATGATGTCATGCCATAATATTTCCATGTCTGTTTTTTTTTTCTCTGTGGTAACTCTTTGAAAGTTAGCGGAATTGATTTCTTGATAATTCTATCGGAATGTAAATTAGGCAGGTCGATAGGTCAGGAGCTAAGAAGGCCTAATATGCATGAAAATCTCGTGCGCACCTGTCTCTGTGTCTGACGCTAAGGAGGCTAAATATGCATGTAAATCTCGTGCGACTACCTTTGTGTTTGACTTCAGTGGGTGAGGACTATTGAAATTGGCATGGGAGTCCTTGTGTAATTTAAATCTATGTCTACATTAACATTGCAGGTTATCCTGCAACATTCACGAGAATGCGGTCTTTATTTCTTAAACATCCAATATCCTATCAATTCTAATAAAAAATCATATTATTAGTAATAAAGCTAGAACTTTTTTTTATTTCATTTCCAATTAATAGAAAAAATATTTTTACAAATAAATAATTATGTAAAATAAAAAAGTCCTAGCATTTTTGTCTTTTATAATTTACTTACACATAAGCATCTACATGATGTATATTTTTTCCCCTCAAAAGAACATGAACATAACTTAATAATGATATTCCTAAGTATGTATTCATGGTATAAAAAATGAGTTTAGCAGTATAAAGATTGATTTTTCACTCAAAGTTTAAAGACTGTTTTTCAGAGATTAAAAAAAAACATTGATTATATCAATAATCATGTGGGTACATGTCCTATGTAAACTTCAGATAATCAACCAATTTTCTAACAGAGAATTAGTAATTTGATATTTGGATACTTCCAAACAATATAATTAGGAGTTTTGGGGGTTATTAATTATGTCCATCATGACATGTACTATAAGCACTGACCCCTCATATCTCAAAATTTATTTTGACACCAAAAAAAAAAAAAAATAGTACTTGCAACACATGCAATGTTTGTTAATCCCTAGTACACTACAGTAGTAGGATACTTTTAACCATGTCTGAGAGAAGATAATTAATTTTCTAATCAGTAATGCTGATGACTGTGATCAAGATACTTATAAATTGTTACTTGCAAATTACAGACAAATTTAGACATGACAGAATAATTTTTTAAGTACAATCATCAGCTAGTGTACACATTGAGAATATTCGAACGAACGAATACTAGCCTACAACGTTGTCATTGAGGAAATTCGAACGAAAGAATAATATTCCGATGTGTATAATTTTCTGACGATTATTTACTTTGTTAACTTGTATAATGTACTACTGAATAACCCCATCGACTGCTAGCTCTGCAAACACTTTACAGTGACAGAAATTCATAAGATTGTTTCATCAGTTAACGAGGAATCAGGATGATCTATAGATCTTTAGACTTCAAAAAAAAAAAAAGAATCTATGAGCCATGTATTAACATGCTTTAAATGAAATAAATAACAAATTCAATAATTCTAGATCTACTTACAAAAATAGAGCAGGTCTTCGTCATAATTTTGTTTACAAACATCATGTAGAAATTCCAATATCCTCATAATCTTGTCGCCGTTTTTTTTTTCTTTGGTTGGTATTGGGTAATTCTAGGAATATAATGCATCCGTCTGCACAGAATTTTTAAATGCGTGTCTAAGAGAAAACCATGCAAAATCCAAATTTTATTATGAAAGGCATTGTGATCATTTTGACTGATTTTATTGTTTCTGATTAGCATCATGTGTCCTCTAATAAATCCCAGTATCAAAACTGTCAGGTACCTTTGGGGATCCCTATTATAGCCCTATATTCTATTTTTAGCACATTTTATGAAAATATTTTGAAAAACACCCATAGATTAAGAGAAAAAAATTGCAGGAAAAAATGCACTTTTATTCAAATGTTACATATTAAATAAATTTAAAGGAAGTGCTCTAACTAGAAATATTTTATTTAATTTCATTTATCAACACTGATTCTGTAAAAGTGGGGTCTAAAATTAGATTAAATCAATGTGTTTAAAATACCACTATCTTTAGAATGCTGTAAAAACCCAAGAAACGCTTAAAACATTATAAATATCAGTTTAATTGCAAAAATCCTTCTAAATCAATATATAGTTAAAAGGAATTTGGTTGCAAATGGCATTATGCTAATTTAAAAATAGATTGAAGTTGGCTGAAACTATTAGAAAAATTATCTCCCTTAGTGGAACTCTCCTTATTTAAAGGAATTAAAAGTGTGATGTCTTAATGGCAGACGAAAAGATGAAGTGTTGATTTGAGGACAATATTATGATAAAAGATCTCTAGCTTTGTTGAAAGATTGTAAAATAGATTCAGCTGAATATACAAGGTATTTTAAATGCAGCACATAAGACATTTCTGTCCGTGAAACGCTTCTTATCGTTAACCATCTTGAACCATACAGCTGTTATGGGACTTGGACATTCTAATTTCTGTAAACATACCTACATGTACATGTATGTGTCAAACACAGAAATATACTTGGTCTACACTGGAAAAGGAAAAAAGAACATGTTGTCACCCATACCTGATAGGGGAGACGCTATTATGCAAACCCGTTAACCGAGAGGGTCAAGCTGAATGAGGTTTTGCCTGTTGGAACTGGTAAGAACATTATGCAGTTTAAAAACTTAAGGAATTTTGCTAAACCATTGAAATTAACTTAATTTCTGACCTTAAAGTTTTCAGAGAGACACTGTACATGATATTTGGGTTGTCAATAAGAAATGAAACAGATTTATAAAAAAAAAAAAGCATGTTGGGGGTTCCTCCCCTTAGTGAGGGTTGAGAGGGCAATACCAGAGTAATTGGGGAATTATGTCATTATAGGTGAAGAAATTCCCCAGTCCCACAGGTCTTAAGGACAACCCTATACATGTAAATATAATATCACAAAGTGATATCATAATTGGAAATATTTACTGACTTTGTGTTTATAGTTGTGAAAACCTATTGATATCAAGTTTATACAACTTACATGTCCAATCTATAATGATTTATATCTATCAACTAATTTGATTCCTAATTGTTACAGGTATATGCAAAAGATGTATAGAAACACACTTTAAAAAATCAGTATGGAAGTAAAGCTGAAGGAAGAGCTTAAAGGTACATATACATATACTGTGTGTTTATAATTATATGTAAAAGTTTTATCAAATTATTTCTAAAATTTACTCAGTAGCTTATACATCAAGTTTCACTTATGAAGCAAAATTACCTGCTTTTATTATGTTATAGCTGAAATACATGTAAAAAGTGAAAACTCTTGAGCAGCAGTCCACTTGCTAATTCTTGTTCTCATTCGAGTATATTTAGTACTCACATAAATTAAGGATTCTACAGTAAATGTTGATGAATGGCTTTTACACTCAATAGTTTCATAATATTGATCATTTCACATGTAAATGATCCAATCCTGTTTGGAAATAAAATTTCAATTGCATATTGTTTTGAATTAGTTCTAAAAATAAAATCTCAAGTGTGATTTCTGTTTCATTTTATGTGTACATAACTGGTTATAAGTATTCATGTAACTATGAGGATTATTAAGTATTGTATAGTTAATATTAAAATTAATGTTTATTCTTTAGCAGAAATGTGTTCCTATTGACAAGGCAACAATTGAATCAAACCAAACAGGTGATCACTTACTGTAATATAATATAATATTTTTAAGGTACTACATAATAATAAAGATAATGTCAATGTTTAATATCTCAAAAAATAAAATTAACAAATATGTTTCATTTCCACACTGAAAAATATAACCAAGTGGACATTGTTCTCATGCAGTTCAATGACATGAACCAGAGTTTGTACATGTGGTTAACATTTTATAATGTATACATACAAGTTACTATAATCATGATAATATACATGTAACTGCTCATTCACATTACTGATAAGTAAAGTAACAAAGAGCAATTTATGTGAAGTTAGGTTTAAATGGTGAAGATGCCTGAATATGTGACTGATAAACTGAAAAGTCCAGTTCATATAGTTCAAGTTTTGAGCTTTAAAATTATTTAATTATGATTCATTCAAAATGTTTCAGCATTAGCATTTTTAGCATTAACTGTAATGTATAAGGGTATATATACTTCATGGCTTTTTCAATTATTTTACAGAGCAAAGAATGGAGGAAAATGGAAGAAGTCATGGACTTAACAGAAAACATATGACCTAATACCTGCAGGTAACAGCCTCCAACCCCCCAACCCCCCCAATAAATGTTTATTGGTCTGTCCATTGGTCATTCTGTCTGCACATGTATGTACTATAACACTTTAATTTGGGAACAATATCTCTTAAAGCCTTTGAGCTTTTGCAATATCATTTCATATCACAACTCCTTACAGCCTAGAGAAGATCCCTATTGATTTGAGGTCAAAAGGTCAAGGTTGGAAATTCCTACAATACAAAAAAAACTCAAATAATAACTTTAGTTTCCCTTGAGCTTTTTCTGTTAAATTTTATATCATAATTCCCAATGACTTAAAGAAATCCCCTTTGATTTCAAAGTTAAAAGGTTTAGTTGAAAAATTCATATCTTGCAATAAATAATGTCCTGGTGATAACTTTGGTTCTCTTTGAGGTCTTGAATTTATTTCTTTAATAAAAAAAGACACCAATTGACTTTAAGGCCAAAAGCTGAAAGGTTAAGGTTGACCTTTTTCTTTTTCCATCTGCATTTTTTTTTTTGGTCCAGTTCTTCCATCCTCATTTTTTTCCATAATTGGGGGCCACAATTCTCTGAATTAGCTTGTTTTATATTTGGATCATTTGCAGGTTTGCATTAAACTCAATTAGCCATTTAAGGCATTTGGATCTCTTACAAAATAGGAAATAAAGGTGATTCAGGCTAGCATTGCCAAGGTCCCTTTGTTGTAAAATTGAAATTATTCCCTAATTCCCAATGTCATTTAGAACATCAAAATACATGCTCTTTTGCTTTTGGGTATAAATGAAAATTTACTGTACAAAAATGTCTTCTTTGATTATCATAATTATTGCAATATCAATTATGAACTTTAATTCAAACATCAATTTGTCATTGCTTTTACAGATTTTGAATTCATATCATCAGTGCATATAAATTGGTCAAAAGATGAAAGATCTCAGCATAAATTGTTCAATCATGCAAAGCATATCCTGTCAAATGGAGATTACCCTTCCTTAAAGTGTCAAGTATCTCAGAAATTGGACTATTTGCAATACTGTTCAGGAATATTTTACAGTCAGTACATTTAGCAATAGGGCCTGTTGCACCATGCCAAGGTACAGAGTTGATGCTTCAAGCTGTCGACGGCATTCCAAAGGAAAAGGATGAAACTTTTTTTTAGCTCACCTGAGCCGAAGGCTCAAGTGAGCTTTTCTGATCGAAATATGTCCATTGTCTGTCGTCGTCGTTGTCGTGGTTGTAAACTTTTCACATTTTCATCTTCTTCTCAAGAACCACTGTGCCAATTTCAACCAAACTTTCCACAAAGTATCCTTGGGTAAAGGGAATTCAAGTTTGTTCAAATGAAGGGCCACACCTTCTTCCAAGGGGAGATAATCATGAATTTGTGAAAAATTGATGGCATCACCTAAAAACTTGTCAAGAACCACTGTGCTTGAAAATATGAAACTTATATGGAAGCATCCTCAGGTAGTGTAGATCCAAGTTTGTTCAAATCATGACTTCCAGGGGTAGGGTGGGGCCACAATGGGTGATCAAAGTTTTACTTAGGAATACATAGGAAAAAGCCTTTAAAAATCTTCTTCTCAGAAACAGCAAAGCCATGATTGATCATATTTAAAAGGAAGCATCCTCAAGTAGTGTAGGTTCAAATTTGTTCCAATCATGACCCCCGTGAGTAGGGTGGGGCCAGAATGGTCGATAAAAGTTTTGCATATAATACATGTACATAGGAAAAATTTGTAAAAATCTTCTTCTCAAGAACAGCAAAGCCATGATTGGTCATTTTTATATGGGTGCATCCTCAGGTAATGTAGACTCAAATTTTGTTCAAATCATGACACCCCCCCCCCCCCCACCCAAGAGAATAGGGGGGCCATAACAGGGGATCAAAGTTATACAAAGGAATACAAATGTTATATCAATAAAAATTGTCTTGTTAAGAACAACATAGCCATTATTTGTCATATTAATTCAAATATTATTATTTTGCTTTATTTCAGTGTAGTAGCTTCAAATGAGTTTTTAATTTTTTTGTTGTTTTTTTGTTGTTTTTTTTTTTTTTTTGACAATTTAAAATTAGAGATCATCTTAGTAATAAAATTTTTTATAATGTTGCTGTCTTTAAATTTTCTCTGTAAAAGTAACATGTACATGTACATGATACATTTGGTATTTTTCAAATGCAGTTGAAGGAATTTAATTGAGCATTGTCAAATATTTCATTTAAATACTAGTTGTGTTTTTATGACTTTATGGTATTAAAAAAGACATAAACTTTGTTCTGTTCATTCATTTGTATAATTTTAGGGCAAACAAAATCAGCATTTGTATAAAATGTTTTGCATGTTTAAAAACAACTTTTGCAATGAAGAACTGTATGAAATTTGGGCAACACTGTGAAAAAGTGGATTTTATTTACTGATGTGTTCACACTTTTGAACACTCTCTCTGTTAAACTTGCAATTTTATGTATTTGCAGTTTTTGCACATGCTAAGGGATCCTGTAAAATGAGCCCCATAGCTACATGTATAGCCAGTTCATTGCTATAATACATTAAGCCTTGTCAAAAACTCATGATTTTTAGCTCTACTGGTTAGAGACCAGAAGAGCTTATGCGATAGTAAGGGGTTGGTCGTCTGTCTGTCCGTCAACAAAAGCTACTCCTCCTACAGTTTTGGTCTGATTCCAATATTACTTGGCACACAAGTAAAGTACACTGAGATACATAATTTTTTTTATCGGATTTTGATTTTGATGAACGGTGTTGCTATGGTTACTGAAATAGAAATTTCTGTAAAATTCTTTTAAAATCTACTCCCCCTTTAGTTTTAGTCAGATTTCCATGAAAAGAGACCAAATCAAGGATCATTATTCTATTTATTTCTGTTGCAAAGTTTCAATTCCAACTGCTACTTATCTCTTCCTTTGTTAGAAGTACAAACCAGTAGAGCTACAGTCTCGAAAAAGACTTCTGGTTAAACAAATATTCAAATCATGCATCTTTGTGACATTCTGGATAAATATGAGCTAATTTCAGTCATGAAGATTGAAGGTCATGTGCCTGAAATGATTTAACGTTCAAAATGTAATCACTCTAGTAGTCCAGTATGCCTTTCTACCCAGATATTGTGTAATTTTGCTAGGGTGAAAAAATCAACTAATTCAAATGTGCCACCAAATTGCCTGTTATTTTTACTTAAATATCTTAAAACAAATACTTCTTGATAAAAAATATAATCACTGAAGTGTCTCTTAAAATTCTATGCCTGTTTTTTCTACAGAATATCCCTTAGAATTATTGTGACCTTTTTGCACTTGCAGTTCTGCACTTACAAGAGTGAAAACTCCATTAATTTAAATTTGCAACCAAAATCCCATTAATACTAAATAATATATTTAAAAACAATCACTTTTTAAAAATATGAAATCAATGGAAGCGTTTCTTGGAATTTTATAGCTGTTTTTCTGCAGACTATTCAAATATCTTTATTTCTTACAATTATCGTGACCTTTTTGCACTCGTAGCTCTTCACATTCAAAAAGGTATGTGGAAAAAATTCTGTAAATATTTTTTTCAAAGGTTTTATTTCCTTAAATCCATTAGTTATGAAGATATTATGGAAATTTTTTATATACTAACAGAATATGTACAAAAGGTGTTATTTTTCCATACTGGGTATAGAAATAGGCTGACGATAAACTAATTCTCCCTGTATCCATGGTAACAAATCAAATGACGTCACCAAACTTACGCAGTAAGTAAGTGACCTTGATCTCACTTTGTATGCAAAGTTTCAAGAAATTTTGAGAAACTTGCTTTCATAGCATTCTGCATGGTTTTCTCGTAGACACGCATTTAAGAAGTGAATCCATAGATAGAATATTACTGCTTCTTTTTATTTATTGGTTTATCTTTTTTTAATTTAAACAATGCATAGTTCACGAGAAAACAAAGAAATGAAATAAATTATCAGGCCTATTTTTTTCAGATTTTTTTTGTTGTTGTTGTAAATACTGCCATGGGTAATAATGGTAATTAAAATGCCCAATACCAAAAATATTAACATTTTATATAAATGGGACATCATCATGATCATTGAGAACATGATAAGAAGGAGGAGGGGTAGTGGACGGGTGGGTAGTCTCTCTGTATCTCTAAAATAAAAATTAATGTTTCCCTTGAAAAGTCAAGAAAATTTTATTTGCATGGTCAGTGGGATATTCAGTACAAGTTTAAAAGTCCAGTCAGTACATAGCCTCAATAAAGCCCCTTCTTCTTCTTTTAATTCACGACATTTTGATATATTGTTAACTTTCTATGATGTTCAAAATTGTATCATTCACCAACCATCCTTCATGTGATAATCAATAGTAACCTATAAATTTTTGTCACTTCAAATCCCATTTTTGTGAAACGTAGAATGAATCAAAGTACTGAAAGTACTCATGGGAGTT